TTGCCCAACCTTCCTTCCAAGGAGTGGCTGGTGGGTTTGAACCGCCAGCCTTCTGGTTAGCAGTCAAGTGCCTTAGGCACTACGCTACCAGAGCTCCTGTGCTTGTACTCAGTATGGTATTTGTAACAGTATGTTCTTTATATACCATCTGAGACTACCATATGCCCCCAGACACTCCATAACCTGGTCCCATCCCTGTCCTAAGGAACTGGGTGAGCAGCCCACAGTAGGAAAAGCTGCACACAGTTTTCAGTCTCTCTGTCCTGAATTGTGCAAAATCCTTTCTATAGAAAACTTTCACTTCTTGGGACCCTATCCAGCAATTAGGACAATACTTAAAGCATAAGGATTATTATTAATATCAAGGATGCATTTATGTTTTTGTCTTTTTATTTATAGCTTTTATGGGTATCAGTTCAATAACATTTCCAGCAGTCATTGTGGTGAGTAGGTGGCAGGCATTATTAACCCACGTGAAACAGAAATGGAGGCAGATTGGCAATAAAAGTTCACTGCTGTTCAGTTGGTGGCACAAAGAAGAACCAATCTTCTTACCCTCCAAGCTCCCATTCCAGTTGCTCTCCTGAGCAGAAGGAAATTCTTTCCAACCTATGATTGGTTACCTTCCTGATGTGTCTATACAAGCCCCACTTCCAATTCCCAACAGGTGATAGCTTATGTCCTCTGAAATCCAGACGGTTGCAATCTTTCACACATTCATTCAACAAACATAAACTTTCCAAGTTCAAGACACTGTGCATTTCCTTGTATTTAACATTATTTCTGAACAGTCTTCTCTAAATTCCTTGAGGACAGAGGGATCTTACACACTGCATGAAATGCTTAACACAATGCTTGGCACTTGGGGAGTACTCATTAAATATTTGGTGACTTGGGTCTCCTGCATGCAAGGTGAGAATTCTACCACTGAACCACCACTGCTCCCTTATTACAAATTACACAAACCTTAAAAAAAAAAAAAAAACCTAGTATTGAAAATAACTTCCTCCTTAGAACTCCAGTATGTCTTATGCCCAGCATGACGGTATAACGGGAAATGCTCTGGACCAGGCATCAAAAGGCCAGCCTTGCCACTGATTTACATCAAAACCTTTCTGAAGTCTTAAAATCCCCTGGTCCCATTTCCTCAATTACATAAAAAGGCGGTGTAACTTAAAGGGCCTTTCAGCCTGAAATGACTCATATGAAATGAAATGCATCAAATGCTAAGCTTGTTTAGGCGAAAAAGATAGAACCAAAGATTAATATTAAATGTGTCTGTCATTTTGGGAAGACTTAAGTTATTTCTTTTCTTGTCATTTATCAAACAGAATCTAGTATTGTTAATTTGCATGTTGTTCTTAACTCTTCAGATTATAGCAAAAAAAAAGCAAACCTATTGCCATCAAGTTGATTCCAACTCATGACAACCCCATGTTGGTACACAGCAGGGTTTTCCTTAAGGCTTTCTTGGCTATAATCTTAAGGAAGCAGATTACCAGGTCTTTCTTTTGAGGCACTGTTGGGTGAGTTCAAACTGCCAAATTTAAAGTTAGTCGAGTGCAAACTGCTTGTGTTACCCAAGGACCTCTCCCACATCAAAAACTCCTTAGAAGAAGAAATTGTTATTTATATAGGAGATGTGATCTAGACAAAATACTGAAGGTTTTTTGACTCTGGGTACCAACTCTACCGAGCAGACTTGGTGGTTCAATGGTTAAGCAGCTAAACATTTGGCTGCTAAGTGAAAGGCTGGCGGTTTGAACCCACCCAGCGGCTGTGTGGAAGACCGGATGACATGCTCCCATAAAGATCACAGCCCAGGAAACCCTGTGGGGTAGTTCTACTCTCTCACATGGAGGTGCTGAGTCAAAATTGACACAGTACACAACCACCACCAACTCTAGCAGGTTCCTGGTGGTGCATATTGTTTGTGTTTGGCTACTAATCAAAACGTTGCAGTACAAATCCATCCAGCAGCACTTTAGAAGAAAGGCCTGGTGATCTACTTCAGAAATTATTACAGCCAAGAAAACCCTGAGGATTGCAGTACTACTCTGAAGCACATGGGGTCACCAGGAGTCAAAGTCTACTCAAGGGCAACAGGTTTGGTTTTTATTGACTCTACATAAATTGGAAGGAAGGTTGGGCAATCTACTTCCGTAGTCATACTGCCTCAGCAACCCAAGGAGGGGTCGCTATGAGTCAGGGCGACTGGATGGCACATAACAACAACAACAACAACATGTAAATTGGGGTCTGCCTCATCTAACTTGCAGGCCATGAGGCATCCTTGCTCTCCATGCATGCCGTCTCTTGATGGGTCATAAATTTAAATTCTTTCCATTTCCACCTTGTCTGTCTTTGTTCCCTCTATGACCAAAAGACTTTACAGTCAAGAGGCAAAGTAAAATCAATTCTTTCCAGTTCATTAGTACTACATGAATAGCTGGATTAACTAACCTCAAAGAACATGGGGTGGCTGTGAAATCAGTGGCGCAAAAGTTTTGTGGGCAACTACTACACTAAGAATTGGTGGTTTGAACTCATCCAGCAGCGTCACGGAAGAAAGGCCTGGTGACCAGCTTCTGCATCAATTACAGCCAACAAAACCTTGTGGAGTTCTACTCTGTGATACATGGGGTCCTCTGAGTCAGCAAGTTTTGGTTTTTGGTTATTAGTGACTTATAGTGGTAGCTCTATAGTGGGAGCTCTGGTAGCATAGTGGCTAAGGCACTTGACTGCTCACCAGAAGGCTGGCGGTTCAAACCCACAAACTCCTCGGAAGGAAGGTTGGGCAATCCTACTTCCGTAGTGATACTGCCTCAGAAACTCAAGGAGGGGTCGCTATGAGTCAGGGCTGACTCCACGGCACATAACAACAACAACAACATAGTGGTAGCCGGGAGCTCTGGTAGCACAGTGGCTAAGACACTTGCCTGCTAACCAGACGGCTGGCGGTTCAAATCCACCAGCCACTCCTCGGAAGGCAGGTTGGGCAATCCTACTTCCGTAGTGACACTGCCT